AACGGTCGAATGTAAAGCGGCACTTTGACACGCGCCATGCTACGTTCACATCAAAATACCCTGCGAGAAACAGCGGAAAGGAAGCGCGCAAGCTACTGATCAGGGTGCAAGCTAGCCAGCAGCAACTCCGCGTATGGACCTGGCAAACTGACAATAATTCCGCTAGTTTTGCTGGATTTTTAACAACTGTGAGGAACGGAAACCCATTCACATTAATGGTGAGTATTAAAACAAAATTATTGAAAATAATACATTCAGAGGTGTATTATACTAACATTTTGTTGAATTCACTTTTAAAATACAGTTTGTCTATTTTATATATATATATATATATATATATATATGTGTGTATGTGTATGTGTATGTGTGTGTGTGTGTGTGGGGCTCTCACTGAAATACATTTCCAAGTATTTTGCTTTCATGGCTCTCTTAGTCAAAAAGGTTCCTGACCACTGCCTTAGAGTCTTGAATGTTATCAGATTGTCCAAAAAGATTATCCTTCTGTTTGAGGCGATGTGTCATGATAATAGGATCCGAAATGGGTTGGGCCAACCATCTTGAAAAATAAACCTTTTCTATAATTGCGATCAAATCAGTGAGTCCATGAACTGTGATGTGAATCGAGCGTAGCCAATCAAAAAAGCACATGGATTGATGAGCAAAGAAGCCACAATACAACAAAACGTGCCTTACCCCATGTAGGTTTGTAGTCGTAGTACCGGTAGTAGTTCTTCCAGGCGCCAAGAAGTATTTTTCAAAGCAAGCCTTTTCTTTAAAAAAGGCCTTTTTTTTTACCCTGAATATAATTGCATTTGTTTTAATTAATTCTGGAGTTACTAGGCCTATAAATTCAAATGTAAAGCATTGCCCGATGATTGTAACATTAAAATATATATGTATATACCGTATATTCCAAATAAGTCGTGACGACGTGTCCGTTCCGCTTCCAACAACTTCCGTCTGTGACCACCTCTTTTGGTTTGGTATCTTTGACAGGCTTGACAGAGGTGGCAAATCAATGTTATTATGTAGATGGGCCACAAAGAGGTCTTAAAATAAATTGTAGGAATTAACAATGCTCAATATGGCACTTTCGAGTGACCTAATGTAGGATTTTTTTTCTTTTTCCTTTTTTTTTTTTTTTTTGCTGATAGCAATTACCTCTGAAGGCTGATTTTTTCCCCTGCTATTAACTCTCTGTATGTCATGCTCTTTCCTTTTTCACTTTTATGTCAGGTTTTTAATACAAGTTTGAATGTTGTGTTAGTCATCCAAAGCATGTTAATGGCTTTAAACTTTTCATCACATAGCTGTTCTGAGTATTAGTATGTTCATCATTATCATTGTCGCGATTAGCATTAGCAGGACTCTAAACTTTAGTATTACCACGTCATTATGAACTGCAGTAAATTGCTGACATTCAAGTATTCATCCAAACTATTATGCACATAATGTGTGTGTGTGCATATAGATAGATAGATAGATAGATAGATAGATAGATAGATAGATAGATAGATAGATAGCACATGCATAAAGGACAATATTTAGCTGTTTTTGTCATTGTCTATTTTGGGGTGGGGGGGTTATGTATACAGGCGCTCCCCGCTTTACAAACTTTTGTGTTGCGAACAACGGTACATACGAACATTTTTGCGGGTACAGGTATGTTGAAAAATGTTCTCGGACAGAGATGCTGTCAGTTAGATTTTGTATTGCGCGCCTTTTTCCGAGTACTGTAGTACTTCTTTCCACCGCTCATACCGACGTGAGGCGCTGTGAGAGGAGGAGGAAACGCCTGTCCCCATGAAGAAGTTCGAGACGGAACTCTCTCCCCCTCCATCATCTCCTGAAGCCTTCAAGTACATCTTCCAAAAGTAAGTTAAACTTCATTTTATTATACTTATGTAAACCTTAAACATACTTATATAAGCCTTAAACATGCATTCCATACAAAATATAGCACTGAAGCAACTTACGTACGAATTCAGCCAACGAACGATCCTTCGGAACGTATCTCGTTCTTTAGCTGGGGAGCGTCTGTAATATGTATAATCACCAACAGAGGGAGGCGCCATAGAAGAATCTTACCATGGGCGGCTGTGTTCTTAATTTTTTTGAGCAATGCATCTTTCTTCCTCTTTCCAGACTGGTGATGGAAGAGAATCTTGATGTGTTACACTTTGTGTTGACACTCTGTGTTGTGTATCACACACAATATGACCAAAACTGTCCAATGCCAGATTTTTTTTATCTTTATGTGTGGGGTCTGTAACCGATAAACAATCTTTAGATGTTTGAAAAAAACCTGATGTGTGTACCAGGCCTTAGATAACAAACATAAACTTGGAAGAAGACAGCTTGCTCAAGCCATCTTCACTTTTTCTAAACATTCCAATAATGTGTGAGTAGAATAGTGTAAATTTCAAGGTGTCATGTTGAAATTGTGCTGAAACTCTTCATAACAAAAGCATGTGTTATTTTGAGAGTGTATCCAAGAAATTGCTGTCTGTTTATGTACACATTTAAAAAAAAAAAAACAATTTTGCAGTTTTACTCTGATGCCTCTTCAACCACCGTTGCCTGCCAGACAAATATTTTTGTTGTTGTTTCAGTGTAATTTGAATTGATTCATATTCTCCTGTAATCAGTTGTTTGAAACTGAAATGGGAATTGGATCATCTACTATATTGCTAATTTTATTCATGACATGTATTCATGAATTTTAGATGATTCCAATCTCAAGTTTCTCTCCAGATAAGTAACTACCTTGTGTTCCAGATTTAAGCATGTCCTTCAGGACTTTTTGTTGATTGTTTAGTCTTGCATAAACTGCACACATAGCCTTGACATCATACCCAAAGATAACATGTCAATGTCTGTATAAACTGGATCAGGGTTATCGCTTTGGTCAAGAGTCGCTGTGTGGCGCCTGGTTATCGTCATATTTTTGCGCTTCGCTCCTCGAATAAAGACATCGAAAGCAATCACTGAGCTCAAAAAATTATTTCTCTATTCAGTAATTCCATAACAACTTGGTGACGAGGTTGGGATCTGGCACCTGATTGGTCACCTCAGGATAGGCAAGCAAAAGAGGCTTGCCCATCCAGTGGAGCTCGGCCAGCGATCGACTCACATCTATCCATTATCTGGTTCGCTTATCTTCACAAGGGTTGCTGGAGCCTATCCCACCTGTCTTCGGGCAGAAGCCGGGGGACACTGTTAGGTTTATGCCGGTAATCTGACACTAAGAATACATCAGGAACAGGAAGACTCAGGAGGCAAGCATGGTTGTCTTTCTTGCCAGAGAGAGCGCGCTAAAACATGTCTCGGTTCACAAGCTTGGAGCAGCTCTCCAGCTGGCTCCACCATTTAAACCGTTCCAGGTTCCGGGGCAACTCTGAAGAGACCGCCTTTGTCTCCTTGCATTTATTGGAAGGATGTCCCTGATACACGATCTTCTAATGGGTGTGGGCAGTATTTGCACATTTCACAACAGTTTCAGTCGAGGAGACTTTCAATGAGAACACACAGTTCATTCCTGAGGTGATCAGACGGCTCCTGCTGGAGGTCGGTGGTCCGCGAACAAAGCTGTGAATGTCCCTCACATTGTGTCCTGGGGTTGATGTTATCTTCACACAAGGAACAGATAATGGGATCAGAAGCCAGTAACAAAAGGATGTTGACTTAAAAGCCAGAACAGGAGCAGGCTGAGCTCTCCCGGTCTGACAAGTCTCCCATTATCAACCTACCCCATTGTAAATGAGGTATTTGCGAGGTCTCACTCTGGAACAAAGGTTTTAGAGTTACACTGAGAGTAAATATGGGATAACAGAATTACATTTATTCCAACAGACACCCTGAACCGGTTGCCAGTCAATCGCAGGGCACACAGAGATGAACAACCATCCATGCTCACACCCACACCTAGGGACAATTTAGAGTGTTCCATTAACCTGCCATGCATGCTTTTGGAATGTGAGAGGAAGCCAGAGTACCTGGAGAAAATTCACACAGGCACAGGGAGAACATGCAAATTCCACACGGGAAAGCCGCAGCCGGAATCAAACCCTGGATGGATTATCCAGTGCTGTTCAATAATTTTCCTCACCAATATGCTCAGAAAACAGTAACGACCGACAATAGCTAATGTTCGATTTTCAACATTTGTGATTGCAAAATCCTTTTATGCGCAAATAGAGGTCGTCTGATTCACGCATTCCTGGAACGTTAGCCAATTCAAAATTAACTTGAAAACTGCACATTTGCTGGACTTCACAGAAAGTTGAAAATAGTTGAGTTTATATTACATGGTCCCACAGTCATTCACCACAATAGAAAGGACATGAAGGGTTTGCTGTGGTAATGTAGTCAGCTATTAAGCTAGTCATATTTATCATTGTAGTTGCCATAGTGTGTGTGTGTGTGTGTGTGTGTGTGTGTGTGTGTGTGTGTGTGTGTGTGTGCTATGCTATGTTCGTCATCTCAAGTACATCACACATGGTAATATAAGAGCAGTAGGAACACCAATGATAATTTTGTTGTGTTCCTTTTCGCATTCTAAAAACTGGTAAAGATTTGTCAAAATTAGTTATTATTATTATTATTATTATTATCATATATATAATGCACCAGGAATGAGTAAAACATCCAAAATTTGCCACAAACCTTTCTGAGGAGATCCTGTGGTGGCACTACGTTCCTAGTTGTAAAGTTCTTGTGGTGAAAAAGAAGTTTCTTATTCCAAGTGGCCAGACAGCAATCTCCTACTATTCAGATGGTGTCGACCCCAAACGCTGAAGTGAATGGCGACAAAAGTAATCAATACCTCAAACTTTAAAGTGTTTATAATTTCCAACCCATCTTCTTACAACGCTGCTAAAAATAAATGGCTTGCAGATGATTTTATTTTGAAAAACCAAAAAAAAAAAAAAGTGTGCATAAATCTCACCTTTGCAAACTGCAAAAATAGCAATCGTCAAGCAATCATGAAACCCCCACTCTTTGATATCTCGAGATTTTTAATGGCCACTCGGCAGAGCAAAAACATACAAATGCAGCAGACTCCACAACCCAGGCTAAATGTTACTCCTTCCAAATATCTGAGTTTCTCCTTTGAGATGTACAGTCTCACTTCCACATAATACTTTGACACTAGTTACTACTTTTTCATATTAGGCAGGGCTTCGGCACCATCTTGTGGCATCTTAGTTTTTACAGAGACAGTGCAAAAAAAAAAAAAAAAAAAAAAAAAAGTACAATTTTGCGCAAATAGCCCAAGATAGGCTTGACAGTAAAAAACACAAATCCATGAATTTATGAAGAGTGAACCACAAAGAGATAGGGGGTCACTGTACAGTATATTGAATATTTCTACATTTTGCAAATAAAGGCAATTTACAGGTACTTTTTACAATGGCGGTTGAATAACTGAGTGAAAGTGTGTCGACATGTTTGTCCATTAAAACTAAATCTCCAGCCTGTTGTCAGTGACATGCTTCTGCCAAAATGCACGCACCCGAGCAACAATGACAGCAAGGATGACAACAAATGCATCTTCTTTCAGTGACTTTTTGCAGGATGAGCATGATTTTCTGGTTTTACACATCAATGACACCAGCTCACGATGAAACAAACAAAAAAAAAAAAAGAAGGAATGAGAACCTAACAACTAGTTCATGACACCAGTGACAGTGTGTCTGAATTGGTGGGCTTTTGAAAGTCAAGACAAGTTTTGAAAGTAAAGACGAGAGGCAAAAAAAAAAAGAAAAAAGATTGACATTTTGTGGGACTTGATTCATTTTGTCAGTGTTTCTCCGTAAGTCATGCAGCAAGAGGATGTGAGGTTCGCTGCCTCCTCAGGAATAGAATGTACTGCTTTTTAGCTTCTTTTGTTTTGCTCTAGGAGAGAAAAAAATAAAATAAAATAGGGATTTAAACACATAGAAATGAGATGATGACGACGATCTGTTAACCATCCGCGGTGCTGTGAAAAAAATATTTGCCTCATCACTGTTCAAGGATTGAACTTTCTTTGCAGAGCAGTTTTACTAATCAGTGACTTCAGATGAAGAGCAACTTCCCATCAACCCAATTCCAATGAAATTAGGACGTTGTGTTCAACATAAATGAAAGCAGAGTACAATGATTTGAAAAATCATGTTCAACCTATATTTAATTGCATACACTACAAAGACAAGATCTGGAATGTCCGACTCCGGAGGAGTAGTGCCTCACTAGTCAAGAGCCTCGCTGCATGGTGTGCATGGTGTCAGAGATGAAAGTCCTCCGGATTTTCCCGGAATTCCGGGTTTTTCAAATTTTTATGGAAATTTCTCCAGAGAATTGAGGAAAATTTGCATAAAATTAATCCGGATATTAGTTGACAACATTGAACGAAGACGCATTTGAGTTCGTTGTATTGCTTTTACGAGCGTAGCCATATTGAGGCACTTACCCAATGGGAAACCACGATAACTAATTTGGGGTTCTGTAAACGTTCATCATGGGAACCCATTTTTCTATTTTGACTGATATTGATCATCAAGAATTCTGAAACTCAAAAGTATAATGTTTCATGGGTAAATGTTTGAAAACTATGCATTAAGACTGAACATTACATCAGCAGCTGTGTACTCCAGGTTTATTCCAAAAAATAAATGGATCAAAAACTGGTGTACTTATGTGGCATCATCAGAGTATTTTTTCCAATCTCACACTGCAAAGATTAATTGACTGGTAATCATTAATACAGGTAAGTGTTGATGTGGCTTGACATCCTCTTCCCAAGACGATGCACTTGTAATTCTCTGAGTACTACTATTATTACCACTCCCACTAATACTACATTAATTAATTTAATACCTTCAACTTCAAAATAATAATAAAAAATAATTAAATCAACCATGATTGATGACGTGTGTTAAATTCTTTCGTCAAATTAATCGTAGATTACACATGCATCGTCTTGGGAAGAGGATGTCAAGCCGCATCAACACTTACCTGTATTAATGATGACCAGTCAATTA